CCCACCCACCCATCCATCCACCCATTCATGCACCGTAGGTCGGACCACTCTCGCAGGCACATTGGAAGAAGCTTCCCTGAGGTTCTCAAGCTGGAGCCCTCCCTCGGTATCCTGCTTCCATGTACCCCTCGGGTCCCTCTCCAGGGGCTGTCTGCGCTTGCGCACCCGTGATGCTGATTTTGGCGGACCATTTGGACGTGCCGTCCAGCACGCTTTGCTTGACAGCCTTCATCTGCTGTGTGTGGGCGCTCTTGGTGACGGCGAAGATCTCCTGGATCAGCTCGAAGATCTCGGGCTTGTTGCGCTCGCGGATCTTCATGCGGTCCTTCAGCACCATGATGATGTTCTGCGTGCGGTCTTCGGCGCCATGCTTGGAGCTCTTCTCCGCCGCCCCTGCCAACGCAGATGCCCCTGGCCTTGGTGTCCGGCTGTTCGCCTCCAACCCTCCATCCCAGGCGGGGCTCCACAGGCCCTCCTTCTGGCTAAGCCCCGCCCTCTGAGGCTACTCTGGCTTGGCCACACCCACGAAGTGCCCTCACTTGAGTCTATCGCCAACCCAGAGCCCAGCCCCTGGAGCCTCTGCCACCCGGAGTCTCCGCCCACCTCTGGGCCTCACCCAAGACGTCACCCTAGCGTCACACTCTACACTCCCTGCCCACTGAATCCTGGGCCCTGGTCTCACGGTGGGCCACGTCTACATGGAGTCGCTGCCCACTTACAACAACCCTAGTGTCTGAGGCCAACTGAGGACGCGCCCCTCTAGATGCACCCTCTAGACGCACCCTTCTAGACACACCCTCTAGACGCGCCCTCTAGATGCAACCTCTAGACGCACCCTCTACACGCGCCCTTCTAGACACACCCTCTAGACGCGCCCCTCTAGACGCGCCCTCTAGACGCGCCCTCTAGATGCAACCTCTAGACACACCCTCTAGACGCACCCCTCTAGATGCACCCTCTAGATGCACCCTCTAGATGCAACCTCTAGATGCACCCTCTACACGCGCCCCTCTAGATGCACCCTCTAGATGCACCCCTCTAGACGCGCCCTCTAGACGCGCCCTCTAGACGCACCCTCTAGACGCACCCCTCTAGACGCGCCCTCTAGACGCGCCCTCTAGACGC